CTGGCACTTCGGGCTGATTATGAAATTGCCTCCAAGGAGAGAGATCTTTTCTTTGAGCTTGATGTAAGTGAGGTTCCTTTTACTAATAATATTATTAATTAATAATAATCTGGAGTGAGTGAGGGACAGGACGTGACTGAACAAACTGCTCTCCATCATGGCCCATTTCACACGCTCCACTCCACACTAACGAGGCAGCAGAACTCCTCCCTTAAAATGATTTAACCCCGCTTTCAAAAAGAATGCTTCAGGAAGTCGTTTTTTTTTTTTTTTTTTAATACCTTCTTGCAGCTGTTTCCCTGATTTATTGTGTGCATATTATTTATTAATGCAAGTTGCACAATCTTAGACTTTTCACTTTTCTTTAACTCATTTTTATGTTTTCTTTGTTTGTTTTTTTTTATCAATGTTGTGCATATTTTAAAAAATTGCTTTTTCTCACGGTTTAAGGCCCTAGGTGTGCGCTTGTGGCACTTTTGCTTTACAATAAACATAGTTAAAGAGTACTACTTGTATTCTTTATCGTGCTGCTGTAACACAATAATTTCCCTTGTGAATGAATAAAGTGTCTATCTGTCTTGCAAGTCAGCACCATTCATGCCAAAAGCGTTTTTGAAATGATGCAAGTGCAAATCAAAACATTTGTACTTGCCAAGTAGTGACTGCTGAGTGTGTTAATAAAAGGTGTTGCTCCTACAGGCAGTGGATCACCTAGAGTCTTTTATTGTGGACTGTGATCGGAGGACAGAACTGGCCAAGAAGCGCCTGGCTGAGACCCAAGAAGAGATCAGTGCAGAGGTGGCAGCAAAGGTGAATGATGCAACATTTTTATGCTTGATAAAGTCTGGCTTTCCTTATGCAACATCCAGTGAACCCTGTCAGTGTGTTTTTTCGCTCAACATAACCTGTTGTCTCTTGTGTTGGTGTGGCTGTTTTGTAGGCAGAGAAGGTGCATGAGCTAAATGAGGAAATAGGAAAGCTCCTGGCCAAGGCTGAACAGCTCGGAGCTGAGGGCAATGTGGATGAGGCTCAGAAAGTCCTGCAAGAGGTGGAGAAGGTCCGCACGAAGAAGAAGGATGCAGAGGTAAGGAGTGAGCTCTTAGAACTTCGAGCTTGTGGTGCTTTCCGTCTCTTAATTTTCTGAACTTCTGACACCTCGCTGCCTCTTTTATTCCCTCTTGAACTATTTCAGGAAGAATACAGAAACTCCATGCCAGCCTCAAGCTTTCAGCAGCAGAAGCTTCGGGTGTGTGAGGTGTGCTCTGCTTACCTTGGTCTCCATGACAACGACCGTCGTTTGGCTGACCATTTTGGTGGGAAGCTTCACCTCGGCTTCATTCAGATCAGAGAAAAACTGGACCAGCTAAAGGTGTGTATAACTTGTTTACAGCCAACTCGTAAAAACATGAGTGACATGGTGCTGAATACTTGCTAGAAAGGGAGGATGATGTAAAGGCTTTAGATATGTTTGTTTTGACTTAGAGCTGGGCGATAGAACGATAACGATATGTATCGCGATATAACTTTTACTCGATAGAGAAATTAAGCTATCGCGATAGACCTCGCCGCTCTTGTCCTCTTAAAAAAAAAAAAAAAAAAAAAAGGTCAGCCAATCCAAATTAAGTAGCGCAGAGCCGAACCAATCACAGCCGCAGCGTCACGTCGCGTGACTTGTTACGTACAGCACAAGTGCCAAGCCGCACGTGTGTTTGTTTGGGAAGCAGCCAGCGCGTAATGGAGGAAATGAGTGTGCCGACTAGAAAAATCAACCGAGCGTGACCGAAGAGAAAACAGATGATGGTTCCAACGCCGGAGAGATTGTCGAACGGAAGAGCCATAGAAGTTCCGTAGTGTGAAGGTATTTCGGCTATTTCAAGTCTGACAAAAAACAGAGTAGCGTGCACTGTAAATTGTGCCGAAAGCAAGTCTGGAAATACAATAAACTGGTGCATGCGTCACACTGTGCGCCACGTTATTGTTTCGGTGAAATGAATTTCTACAATACTGTTACTGTTAATTCTACTCTCTGCAGTGTTTAAATGCTTACATATACACACAGTTACTGTCCCTCCACACATACGACTCGGTTCTGCTTCTATGCCCCAGCTTTGTTTACTTTTTCCCACCGAGGCTTCTAGACTTCTGATTGGCCAACATTTCTGCACGGTTAGGAATCTAGCGCCACCTGCTGCTTTGGCATGTTCATAGCAGCGTTTTCCTTCATTTCTGCCTTTATGTGTGGACGGGATTATTTTTTAAAACGAAAACGGAAAATCTCCGTTTTCAAAAATACCCGTGTACGTGTGGACGTAGCCTCAGTCTCTGACTGGAAGCGCTAATTCGTCATTCGGCTTTTGTCAGACTAAAGTAACTGTTAAAACTGTTTGAAAAGCTCAGCTATACAACAAGGAGAGATTGAGAATTTCCTTTTAGTTCTCAGTTTATTTGATATTGACAAAAGTTAGTCAGTTTTGTCTGTTCTTCTGTAAAACAAACTAAGATTTATTTTTAGAATTAATATTTTGTTTCTAAGTGGAATTGACAATTTAGTCTGTTTCGTTTGTTCTATTTTGAAACTTAAACGCTTTAGCGGCTGCCTTTTGTGTAGTTTGCAATATTTGCCTTTATTTATCTGAAAAAGTCTCATGTTCCTTAAGTACATCTACCCTGTTGAACTTATTATGGGAAATAAATATTTAAATAAAAACAAGCTGCTGATTATTTCACATTTTACTTGTGAGCAACGGCACATTTAAATCTTACAAATATAGTTATTTGGCTTATATCGTGATAGATATCGTTATCGCCTGAAATGAAAAAACATATCGTGATATGAAAAAATCTCATATCGCCCAGCTCTATGACTTATCTAATTATATTTTTATCAGAAAACTGTGGTCGAGAAGCAAGAGAAGAGGAATCAGGAGCGCTTAAAGAGACGAGAAGAAAGGGAGAAGGAGGAAAGGATGAGGAGGAGGTGAGTGCCGATGTTAAAATCCCGATGACATTTACAGCAGTGCGTGTTTTACTGTTTAACTCTGTGGTTTTATTTTATAGGACAAGATCAAGAAGCAGAGAGCACAGAAGGTAAGGAAGCTCCCTCTTCTGTCTGTCAGTTCATTCGTTCCAGTCTTTTATGAGTCCGATTTGTTCTGTTCAAGTGAGCTAATGAAATATGCTGTCTGCTGTCTTTGCCAGGTCCCGTTCTCGTGACCGCAGAAGGAGACGCTCACGCTCTTCGTCACGAGACAGGCGCCGTTCCCGCTCACGCTCCAGGGAGAGGAGGAGACGGCATCGCAGCCGATCCCGCTCACGCAGCCGAGGACACCGTCACAGCCACGAGCAGAGCTCCAGACACAAGTAAACACAGACGAAAACCCTTATTAATCTATACTCCCGTGAAAGAGAATTGAGCAAACACATGGAGATCTGTGGGATACTGATTGCGTCGCCTCAGTGAAAATAAAAGGAAACAACAATTACATGGGCTTTTTTTGAGCCCTTTATCCAGCTTCAAGCTTGTGTTTTGGCATTTTACACATACAATCCTTCTCTTTTTTTCAACTGCTCTGTTGTATTTGTGTTACTAACCTGAATATCTCAAATCGTTTTGTCGCTCAGGTCGTCCAGAGATCGAGAGCGCTCGTCCAGGGACCGTGACCGCTCATCCAGAGACCGGTCACGGGAGCGAGACAGAAGGGATGGTATGAACGGCAGGTCGGACTCGCGCAGGGCAGACGACAGAGACGTGGGGGACCTCTGAAGACCAAACTCCATCCATGACCACAACACCACAGCCTCCTCCCGTCTGTCCATTTATAATATCCTAATGTTAAACACTTTGCCTCGACACCCCACCCCTCTGTTTTCCCGCCTGCCTCCTTTCTTTGCTTTAGTGCAGCCAGAGTGCACACATACTATCAAGTATAGAATTGAGTTTTTTTGTTTAGTTGGGTTTTTTGTTTTTTTTTCGTTTTTTTTTTTTTTATAGCATCAGATACATCAGATTTTTGGGGATTTGGCAGGTTATTGGTCAGTAGTGGAGTGTACTCTTAATACCCACATCTGTAACTCGGTGACTTGTCTGTATCCAGTCCATCCCTCGTCTTGTTACTGCCCTGAAATGTGTCCACTAGAAAAGGCAAACTGATCTGCTGGACTGGAGCATAAAAATGTAACTGGTCCATGTTCTTTTTATTATTATCTGATGGTCTTTTGATAAAAAAAAAAATCTGTCTGTAAATATATTCTAGGCTGACTAATTGTCTGAAAAAGCCTAGTCTTGTCAAGTAGTTTCTTGGTTTTTTTTCCCCCCTCCTCATCTCCCTCCTGAGACAGCGAAAAGATTTCGTTTCGCTGTCTCAGTGCAGTTCTCGAATGTCTGTCCACATAATGGTCCTCAGTACTTAGTTCTCTAAAACCCACTTAAAGTTTTACATTCAAAGGTTTTAAAGATGTTAGCATTAGTATCCGACTTGCCTCCCTTTTTTGTCTTTTTTTTATTATCATAAGTGATCAGGTTACAGGTGACTTTCTTCAGTATAAGTGAAATCTTCTGATCTATATTGGTGGCAAGTCTCTTTATCATTTCTTTCTATCTTGATTTCTTTTTAACATACTGCAAATAAACAATATCTTTAGAATTTGTGTCAGCATGTGAAGCAGTAGGTTCAGAAATGATCAAGTTCAGATCTACTTACCTTTAAGTGAAAAATTTAAACATTTTTTTGGCCCAACTTGAACAGATTTCTTTTCCATTATGATTAAATGCAAACAGATTTTAATGGATGCACTGCTTTACCTAATGTGTGAAGTCATATCTGTTTGTTCTGCTGGAAACCTTTCTTTAAAGTCTCAATAAAAAAAGAAAAAAAGCACCATTTGGAATTTAATTGTGTGTTGAATTGTGTTGACAAGGTCGTGTCATTGTTAAGATGTGATAATAATGGCTGAATTTTTACAAATGTGTATTACAAAGATAAATACATTTCATTTAAGTTAATTAGGCAGAGAAGAAGACAGCTGTTACACTAAAATGAACATGCATTACAAACGGGGCACTGCAGTGTTAAAATATTTAAAGGGGATCTCTTACACTCATTTCCATTTTTAGATTTATTGCGTTCTACTGGAGAACCACTGCAAGATTCACAGCTCAGATTAATTCTTATTTTTTTATACTGGGCCTAAGTCCAACACCTCAATTCATCCTGGAACAAACCACTAGTTCCGTTTCCCCTCTCTTTAAGCCAGCCTTCTTCTGATTGGCTGGCCCTTGCAACCAAAGGGTTTAAACAGCCCGAGCTGTGTACCTGAGGAGCTGTGTACCTGAGGAGCTGTGTACCTGAGGTGTGTCATATTTGCACCACTGTACAAAGCCAAGAGTAGAAAAAACATTCCATAAAAATTGGTGGAGGCCTTTGAAATCTGACCTTTTGACTCCTGGTTTACTTGTACGTGCTCCGATCGCTGTTTGAAACTGTGTCCATGTTTAATATGAGCATCCACAAAAAACACTAACTGTACATATATGGCATAAAATAAGGAAAAGCAAAATCAGTCCCCTTTAGTTTGCACGGCACCTTAAATTCCTACGTCTCATATTGCTGACAGAAAGCTCGGTTTTAACATCAGGTAATAATACCGTAGTGACCCTCATGCCGTGATTTAATGTTAGATAGTCAAGTCACTGCCACATGTTCGGTCTCTGGGGACGGGAAAACAGTCCTTCATGTAACGCTCTTCACAATGTGGACGCTGTTCCTCACAATGTACTGCTCTCCAGCTTCAGATCAACCTTCATTTTCTGTTTCTCCATGACTGCCTCCAGCTCTGTGGCCCTTCTGGCATCCTGTAAAAAGTAGAAATCAATTTAGACTGTGTAGCAATGAGATGAAAAGCATCAGCTGTTTACAGTAATTTGAACCTCAAGCTACTGAGTTCAGGTCATTCCATCTCAAATTACTGTGAGCCTTCTGCTCAACGCTGAAGGTTTTTGTGAAATCCATATACGTAGAATACATTTCAAGATGTTTTTAAATGGCCTGTCAGCACGTTTCCAGCATGTTTCTTTCACACAAAATATGGGACGAAGTTTGGACGTCACAAAAACTAGAGATAAACGTCGATAAAAGCCTAAAAAATGATGCTGGCCTTTCTTACCAAAATAATCCAAATACCAATGTAAAATTTGTCACACATACAAATGCATTTTTAATGTCTCTTAATCTTTTCCTGAATTATAAGAGTCTTCCAGGGTAATCTGGATGGCACGTGGGACTTGAAAATAAGAATTTTGTTCTGTTTGGATTAGACTGTCTGCTGATCCGAATGTATCATATGTCCTCAGTCCAGCATGAAAGGTAAAAGATGAATGAAAATATGTTAAAAGTAAGTAATTTTAAATCACTGATTACACTCGTAATTGTGTTTTTGCATCCTGCCAAAAATGATCATGTTTAGTTTTCCTAAAACCAATAAAAATGTTAATATTGAAGGCTTTGATATAGCTTCCCTTTAAAAGATATAGCTGTTCTCTTTTCGCTTACCTCTAGCAGTGATTTTTGCACAGCGAGCTGACTGTACACTCTGGCACCCTCCTCTGGAATCACAGCTTTCAGCTCTTCTTTGTTGAGAGAGAACAGCTGGGCGCCTGTCAGCACACCCAAACATGACACTGTCCTGAGGGACACAAAACATAATGGACTTCAGAGGATACTCCGGTGGAGCCGCTGCGTTCATCCATGTAATGGCAAAACGCACGTGTAGAGCCAGCATTCCCTGCTTATACACAAAACGTGGTTTATCCGGTCTGCGGTCACTTACGGTTTGCTGAAGCCCTTCCCTCTGAGCCACTCAGCCACCTCCTCTGGAGGAGAGTGGTAGTCAAGGGGGAGGGAGGTGTCAGCAGAGCGAGGGATGACGAGGGGTTTGTTCATATTGGACTTTCCATTCGTCAGTCTCTGGAGCAGCTCATCATTTACCAGCGTGACTGAAAAGTTTGGAGTTTAAAGAGGTAACGGTCACTTTCATGCTCAAATAATAATATAAATGCAGGACTCAGTGGAGGAAAGACATAGCTCAAAAGTGCATCTTAAAACATGAGAACGTGGTTTAAATCCAAAATAATGAACCCATAATTAGGTGACTTATGAGAAGCCTATCACTGTGCTTTTTTGTATCTTTTTTTTGGTTATAGAACTTTTTTAAATAAATCTTATATTCACCTGTTAGGCAAACGTGCAAACCGCTACACAACAGAGCCACAGTCTAGGACACATAAAGTTGTAGTCCGTTACCTTTGTCATTGTCCTCAACAGCTTGCACATGCTGGTTGTATGATGGTAAGCTGTGTGGGCGCTGTGGGGAGTGGGTGGGGGTGGTTTTGGGAAGAGCAGGGGGGGTGGGTGGGGCAAGAGTGACATTCTTGGAAAGTGGAGGCGCAGCTGGAACCTGAAGGAACGTGGAGTGAAGAAAAAAATGAGTTTGCTCTGATGGAATGATCAGATGAGAGCTTGTGTGTTTCACACGTGCATGCATGTGTGTGGGTGTCTTTTTTGCCGTCTTACACTGGGGGGGTTGTTGTGGACAGGGCTCTCTATGTGAGCCATGGGCTCCAGGATGTTGAAGGGGACGAAGCCGACCTGGTTAAACCGATTGCGACACTTCCACCAGCGCTTGGATGACTCGATCACCTGTCAGACAGAGAGGGTTGCGGTCAGGGAGAGGGCTGTAAAGTGTATCAACAACTGCAAATAGCTTTTGTCAAACAACGAATAACAGGACTTTTATGATGGTTCCTTGAGTGCGCCATAAAATGACTTGCTTCACTGTGTGTTACCTCCAGTGTCTCCCCCTGCTGCACTGAAAGCTCACTGCTGTTCCTGGCAATGAAGTCATAACTGCAGCAGTAGAGTCTGTCAGGCCCCGGTGGGAGTGAATTTCTGACCAAACGAGAGAAAGTTTGTTTTTATTTAGTCAAGGTCAAAACAAACAAACAACAACAACAAGAAAAACAGCAGTTCATTGATTTATGTCTTGTAGATGACTTACGTGTCATCGTTTGGTGGCTGAGGTGGTTGTTGCTGTTGTGGGAGCAAAAAAAAAAAAATAGACAAGTGAAGACAACACAAGTTAGCACAAAATGCACAAAGTATGTAGAGAAATATAATGTCAGTGTATATCTGGGTAAGACTGACTGCATTAAAGTTTGAGAAACTAAGGTGTTATTAAAAAAACAAAGAACTAACTGTGAACCTTATACAGTTTTTAGCAGGGATGGACAGAAATGTGAGCTGACCTGTCAAAAAGCGGAAAGTGTATCTCCACTGTTTACTGTACGTAAGGTTTATTCATGCGTTAGTATCTTAAACCCCTGTGTTGTCCTTTTACACACTCATCCATAGTTCTTGTTTCCACTGATCTACGATTAATGACTTCTAAATCACGTTATAGAAGTATTCCACACCTCTTGTTTTTCTCGAAGGGCTTCGAGTTTGTGCTGTGACTCGACCGGATCCTCCCAAACCTGCCCGTCAGGCTTCAAGGCTTCTGGCTTCCAGCCATCAAAGAACACTGGGGTGTATGGAGCTACAGGCCCACGCAGCTGAGACCTGAGAGAGCAGAACAAGTCACTGCCTTGGCCTTCAATGAGCTCAACAACCAAAACTATGATTGTTATTCAAGCAGTTTTCATTGATGGAAGTTATGACATTGGATTTTCCTCTTAAAGCTTGCTTACAATATTAAATATAATAGGTCTTATGTACATTTGACAGCTAATCCATCGGTTCCCTTTTCTTAACATGAGAAATCAATAAATCCCAAAATGCCTTAAGTGGATTTGTTATGCTTTTTATTATATAAATACTGTCACAATGGAGCCTGATGGAGGGTCCTGTTAAACATCAGAAGAAAGTTTTGTCTTAAAGTAAGGGGACCCTCACCCCATGAGCTGAAACTGAGGTGCTGTGACAAAAGACCGAAGAAGACAGATAGGGATTGCTTTGTAGTCTTTCAGTCCAAGAATAAAAATATGGAACTGGATATGAGCAAAAAAACATCCCTTTTAATCTCCTGTCTCAAAAAATCTGCTTATTTCAAAACGCAGGTAAAACAAAGGATTTCAAGAGAAACGAAGTACAAAAATATTGCTTGGTTGAAACAAAGATGTTGCTCTTCAGCAGATAAAATCTTCAGTGAACCCAAAAATGTAAAAAGGTGTCACATAACTATCAACAGAGGCAAAATGCTCCCTTTCCACAGCCTCTGGCCAGAGTCGAGCTTGATACAACACCAAGACTGGAAGTTTTTAATGTGCTGCCTTTTTAGATTTCTGGAAAGTAAAACACCAGTTTCACAACTAGTAAGAGACAGACAAGCATTGATACCGACCGAGGGTGTGTCCAGTTGGGTCCCAGCGACGTCCAGAGCTGCCTCTCCTCCTCAGTCAGGGTATCTTGTAGAAGGGACACAGCAGAGCTGGTCAGGGCAGGACTGGATATGGCGGCTCCAAAAGCTGGTCCTCCTGTTGTTTTTACCATCTGTGCAACATACAGATGAGAAAAAAATCAGTGTGTCTTTTATCCTTTCTTCCTCCCCTCACCCACAAGTGTTCGCAGCAGATGGCTGAACCTCCCTGAGCCTGGTTCTTAAAAGGCAGTTTTTCCTTCTTACTGTTGCCAAAGTGCTTTTTCAAAGGGGCCAAGTTATTGTTGGGGTTATATCTATATTATTATAATTTCTTTTCCTTCAATATGAAACGCATTAAGGCAGTTGTTGTTGGGATTGTTTGGCATTATATAAATTAACCTGAACTGATGTTCCCACGTCTGCTGTAATGGATCTGGCATTCAAAGTCTTAACAATTGCTGATGGTTCTAGCAAACCGCAACAACAATACCGTCCATCCTTCTGCCTGATAGCCGAACATCAAACCACAGATGTAACAACAAATGCAAAAAAACTAATGGATACATCTGCACACAAAAGCCAAAGCACACAAGAAGAAGCACACGCACGTCTTTGAGAGACAAGGCTGCGTGTTCCCATTCAGGTGTGTCAGTTTACACGAATCAAACACACCCTTTTCACCCTATTTGATTCATACTGGAGTGGAAAAATTAAAGCACATACTTTGAAATATTTCTTTCATTTCTGCTAACTCACAGTGTATCATGATGAGTGATGTTGATACTTTAATGAAGGGCATTGGACATTTCCATGAAATCAAAGTAAATAAATGATAATCTAAAGGCACTTGATTTCTAAAAAAGCAGCCACGAATGGCCCACCTTTTTTCCCAGATGGAACTTACCAACGTCCTAATTTAAAACAGGCGTCGAGGGACAACAAAGTGGCCTTTCTAGTGTCGAGACAAGCTCAAATCTAAACCAAATGTTTGAGAGGTATGCACCAGCAACCCCTGCCCGCATACAAATACAGCCAAGGAAACTGCGTAGATCAAACAAATGCTGCATTTTTTGGTGATTTTCAATCAGGCCGCTGTGCAGGGAACTGCCCTGTGTAAACACTGAATAGAAGCTGTAGCTTCTGACAACATCACTTAACTACTCTGAAGACTTTCCATTATTTTGACATGACACATGCTTACAGTTCTGCACTGATGTCCACTAACATCAGGAACAAAAACGCTGCCTGATTGGGCCGTCAAGCAGAGAATGTGTCTTTTGAATCTAGGCATTTACCCCCAGTTGACTTTGCCCCCGCATGGCATTACGTGTCACACGAATTTATTCGAAGAGGTTGGTCATGCTCCCCTGCAGTGAAAGACAACACCTCATATTTACAGCAATAGCAACAACAGTTGCTGAGGTAGAGTTTATAGCCCTGACTCACCATATCCAGAGGCTTGAACACATGGTGAATGAGGTCCTCTGAAGAAGGATTGGTGATGGTTGATTTCAGGCGAGCCTGAGAAATAAACAGAGGCGATGAATATGCAGCTGCCACGAGTAAGCAAATAATGAGGCTGGACTTGATGGTATACATACCAAGAGGCTGAAGCAATATTTGAATTTCTGGAAGATATCAACGAATTCCCCATCTGGTGGAGGGCGAGCCTTTGTGGCGAGTAGCTCGTCTGTTGTTTGGGAACAAAATATAACAGCAGTTGATGAATATGTTGCTTCGAACTAGAGAAACTGGAGAAATCTATGCATCTCCCTCTTACCTTCAGCGCTTTGCTTTTTACTTTTCTTCTTCTTCTTCTTTCTTTGGTTCAGCACCGTCGCAGCTTCAGCAGTCTGCTGCAGCTTGCCCATGAAGGCCTCGATTTCGTCGAAACAGTGATTAAGGATCCCCTGAGGAAAGAAGAATTGCCTTCGTTACGTGAAAAGCAGCCAAAAGTGGGGACAAAAGACACAAAAGAGATGAGCTGGCTTACCACTTCTCTCTCTGCTCGCAGGAAAGAGATATCAGGTCCGCCATTTGCTGTCGTGAAATAGAGCAAGGGACTCAGTTTATCCATGTTCATTCATCTCTGCACTTCCCAAAGCCGCCCTCTCACAAATACAAGCTGACAAAGCCATCTCTGTGCTCTGGAGAGACGTTTGCCTCGAATACCTGACGCTTCTCTCCTTTCCTCCTGCTCACTTTCCCAACCCTTCTGAATAATTCTGAAGCACTACTGAACAGGCATGCATGTGGAAAAAGAAGTCTTCTATGTTTTTTCTTACCTCTGGGTCCAGGGTAAGGTGGAGGGTTGACAGGTGGGGGATTAGGAGCATGCAGCACAGGAGGACTTGGTATGTTATAGGGGTCGAACATATCTCCTCCACTCTGAGAAAGCCTGCGGGGCGAGAGGAGAGATTCAGTGCTTCTCCCACAACACGGCACTACGGGTTAAAAGGTGATAACAGTGTTTTTGTTGATGATGGTGCAGGTGTACACTCAGCGCCAGCAAATGAGACGCCCTTCAGCAAGGGCTCAAGAACTCATATTAACAAGCTCACATTCAATGCCGTAACAGCAGCATCCTCTTGGTAAGAGCTCCAAACAGCTCTATGAGCGCAGTGCACAACGCAGCGCCTCTAAGATTTAACCCTTTCCCTTATAAAGAAGACATCTGATGACCTCCCCAGCACTCTTAACGATGGGTTTTGACACCTCAGTATATATAAATAAAGATGTGGTTTTATGACCAGTAGAACAGTTTCCAGGTTTTTCCAAGGGTAGCTGCGTAAACAGGGACCACTCTCACTAACTTCTAATGCAAACCCAGTCATTTTTGTCCAATAAGCAGGTCTGAAATATGCTTAGTTCAAAAAGGAGCTTTAAAGGTTACTCCCAGTAGGCTTACAAGGGCTAAAGAGTTAATCCTCCAGCCCTTATCCAACCATGAAGAAAGAGTGAACATCCTAATTTTGCATACTCGTTTCCACGCTAAACACAAACACTTTACATTAGCAAGCAATAAAAACAGTGAGTCCGCTTTGACTTTTTTATCCCAAAAAAAATACAAGTAACCTAACAGTGATGACTTCACTTTTTTAGAAATTTTAATTAAATTCTGATGTAAATACAAAAGGCTCCTGCTGTGTCTCTTACCACATGTCTCTGCCCTTCACGTGTCCTTTAAAGAGAAATGTTCTCAAAGCCAGATTATGCCCAGAGCCTTCGCCTCTGTTCCCTTTGCCTTCTCTACTCGCCGTCACAATGGCCTTGCTATCTCTGTCACACCTTCTTAAGTTATGTAGAAACCGGTAGAACGAGTCTTTTGCTTGCTCTCGCTCAGCTGTTTATACTGTTTGTCCTCCCTCTCTCTGCCTCCACACAGGTGGATGGCAACACAAAGCTGCTTTGACTCAGTGGAAAAATGTGACATAATGACAACGACGGCGAAAATCAAACTGCTTTAAATGGGATGTGGGTCTGAGTTTCCTTTTTTGTGGCTGCCAATTAAACTCCGCCCATGCAATGTGATTGTGAACACAGAAGCGTGCTCTCCCATTAAAACCGTGCCGAGAAATGCACTTTCGTGGGTGCGTGATTATGACAGTCACTGTACCTGTGGTCATCAGGGGGCAGCTTACTCTTGCTGGCGGTGGAATTCGAAACTGCCAACGTGACTTCGTCGCAGATTTGCTCTGCCTGTTTAAAATGACAAAATGTAAGTGGCATCACTGGTAAAACCTGATGCAAATAGACCCTATGACTCATCCAGGACAACACTTGGGGAAACTCCTCGCGCCGTCAGCACTCACCTTCACCGTTTCACAGTTAAAGAAGTGAATGTCTGGCTTCTTCTGATCTTCACCTTGGCAGACTAACATAAGGAGGGATGGGAAGTGTTTTTCTGTGTTAACAGCTTCACAGCGGAAGATGGATCTGAAGGCGTAGCTCTCCAGCTCGTCCTGCAAGGGCAAATAGAACTGATGGTCATTGTGGATGCAAATATGTGTGGTATTTCACAGCTGAGCACATTTAAATCTCTTCATCATCCACTGAGATGCGCCTGCCCTCACCTGACTCTGTACGTCTCTGAGATAAATGCCCCCTGCTCCCACATCCAGGTACATCTGTTGACTCCATAGCTTTTTATTTTGAGCCAGGAAGGAAAGACGGTTCTGAGCTTCCTCAACGTTCCGCACTTCCCCATTCTGCAGCGAGAACGTCAGAAGGTGCTGCAAAGTAATGAGGAAGAATGAGCACATGAGGAAAAATGCACGATAAAAAACATCACTCAAGGGAAGGCACTCACTGTGACGATATGTCGAGTGATGTTTGTCATGTTTTTTCCACTCTGTCAGCTGGAGATGTGTAAGATAAAGCAGCTTTCCTAAAAAATCACAGACCTAGAAGAGGAAGCAGAATACCAGGACCACTCAGAAACACCTTCTGGACAGAGTTACGAGTGACATTTGTAGATGGAGAGAGGAACGATGGTGTTGCTTTAACAAGTTATCAGCAGCTCCTACTTCCTAAAGCTAAACAGACTTACTCACAAAAGAAATATCCTCATTCAAATGTGCCCTGCCCCTCCCCTTTTCCAGCTTACGTCTGTCTATCCCAGCTCTGCTTCAGTAACACAGGATTCTGGTGAGTGAGTGACTGAGCGAGCGAGCCGCCCGACCTGTCTGGTAACAGTTCAAAGTATGATACCAACCTCTCTGTTTCTCAGTGACCACTGAACAAGCGTCACCGGCATCAAAGACAGCAAACACTTGGTATAACTCACATGGTGTCACTTAAAAACTCTGCCCACAAAAAAAATATCACTTAACCTCACATTTATGAGCACTCAGTGCCAGCCTGGTCTTGCACGAACATATAGTGTGGCATTTCAAAATGAACACTGGGACAGTGCGGTAAGCATGATGATTTGTGCACAAACTATAAGATAAAGTACTGTTTTAAATCAAGGAAACATTTCTACATCTAAACAAAGCTTTACTTTGCATCCATCCAATATGTTTTTACAAAATATATTCTATGTGCGCAACTTAACTGTATAGATTTGACAGAAAGAGCTGTGGTCTTGTTGATGTTAGGTAAGAAGAGTAAGACAATCATGCCAGGTTAAGTCAGAATTAAGTCAAGTGTCCATGGTGCTTTTGATTTTAGTACATTTTCATAAGCAAACCTTCAAAATCTGATGACAAATACTGAATTACTGGTGAATGTTTGGTTACACCTTCATAAATTACTATGAGTATCCAAGAAACCTATACAACATACAACAAAATGACTTACCATACTCATCTAAATGTATTTGAGAGTCAAATAATCAAAGACCTGAGATGTCAGAGACTGGAAATACATGTCAAATCAGCTTACCGTAACTTAGTATACTTCCAGTGCCTGGATCTTGAGGTTAGCAGAAACCAAAACCTGTCTCGAGCCTTAGTGTGACTAGAGGTATCTTACTCACCCTGAGGTATGAAAGCCTTGACAAGCAGAGGTGTGTCACACTGTGGAGTCCCGCCCAGTATTTCACCCCACCTTAAAGATAAAAATATATATTTGTTTCTCTCTCCTGTACACCTACAAGTGCATTCCACACAGGGAAATGTAAAGGTTAAAATGTTGGAAGATAAAGTTGGTGAACGGTGACACAGAGTGAGTGGGTGAAAATAAATGCTCAGAGGCCTGAACTGAACCTAGTCGCTGTGCCACTGGAGTGGGCTGCCACGGAGAGTAACGGGGGGAAGGGAGGTCCATGCAAAGGTGCAGTGTGCAGGAAAATAAAACAAACCAGAGATTGATTAGCTCAGATAATTTTTCATAGTCAGTACTTGAAGCAAATTGTGGGGTGGAAAGGTTTTTGGCTTCTGGGAGGAACATGCAAAAAGAGTTCGAGAAGGACAAATGAAACGTGTAGAGCTGCTGTTTCAGGACCCAAAGAAATCAGACAATTGAGAAATCACTGACACAGTTCTGATGGGATCAAAGGGCCAAAAATCTTTATCTTTTGCTGTTATGGGAAATTTCTGATGAAGTCAGAATTTCTGCAAGTGAAGATTTCGGGAGTTATTTAGTGTGCTTAGCAAATGGAGGGGAAGTAGAGCTGTGTATTCTGTTGATAGGTTATGCAGCTGGCAACTGCACATGTACATGTACATATTACAGAAGTTGTCATAAGACTCTATTCAAGCCCATTAAAAGTAGACCCGATGATTCAACAGAACCACCTATAGCAGCAGTAACCTGAAGTAATCCTTTTCTGTGTGACTTTATCGTTGTGGAGGAAATTCGGCCCACTTCTCTTTACAATGTTGCTTCACTTCACTGGAGTATTGAAATGAATTCACGTACAGCTTTTTAAGTTGCTGCCACAGCATTGCAATCAGGTCTGTACTTTGACTGGGTCATTACAACACCATGATTCTTTTCTTTTTCAGCCATTCTGTTGTAGATTTGTTGGTGTGCTTGGGTTTCATCGGCCTTAAATTAAAGTTTCTGTGCCGAGCTTTAGCTGCAAACTCAAATCATCACCCGTCCACCACCATGCTTGACAGCTGGTATGAGGTATTTGTGATGATATGCTTAGTTTCCTCCAGAAGGTGGTGCTGTGCATCCTGGCCAAACATCACCACTTTCATCTGTCCAAAGGATGTTGTTCCAGAAGTCTTGTGGTTTATTTAAATGCAACTTTAAAAAGAAGCCTTTCTCCACTGTGCAACTGTACTTTCATGAACTTCAACATTTAACATGCTAACCGAGACCTCTAGGGTTTGAAATGTAGCTCTTGGGTTTTTCTTTTCTTGGACAGTCTAACCTTGGGGTGAATTTGCTGTTATGTTCACTCCTGGGAAGGACTGGAGAAGCATTATTGTTCCACACCAGAAAACCGGAGAGGTCCTCCCACTTGCCGAGCAGCCGAGCGTCAAAAAATTGCATTTGATTAACAACACCTGCTGCTTTTTTACCATCTTATTTCCTGTGAAAAATGATAACCACGAAGGCCGATTTCAATATTTCACATTTTTGGAATTTAATTAGAACATAAAGATTATTATTTCACACAATCGAAAGAAGTGTGTGTGTGTGTGTGTGTGTGTGTGTGTGTGTGTGTGTGTGTGTGTGTGTGTGTGTGGGTAAAGCTTTCACCTAGATTTTAGCGATTTGAGCCTGGATTGCGCACATAACAGGCAGAGCCTTAACTCACCACTGACACGTGTTCATGTATGATGCCAGGTAGATGGTTAAAATCCGAACACGTGGGGAAATACCACTTTATCCAGGTTAAGTTGTTACCTTTATGTTTGCCACCACTAAATCTTTTGTCTCTGCTCAGTTTTCGCACTTTTATCAAAATAAGAAAATAAAAGAAAACAAAGGAGGCGGAGGCTGATGCAACAGTCTCAACATGGCTTTTACAGCCTACTGGGATTAGAACTTCGTGCCCGTGAGTGGTTGTAGCAGCATTGTTATTGTTCAGATTATATAGTTAATAGATTTAAATTCTACTCTGAGCGAGGTGCGACATTTTTCTCACGCGTACAGACGCACACAATGCCACGTATGCCGGCTTGGAAGTTTTAAATAGAGCTGTCTAGTATCACTCATAAACTCATAAACTACAAATCTACGCGTTTAGAAATAGTTAGGCGTATTAATTAATAATTGATAAATACCTTGTGATACAAACAAAGTCCGTGTAATGGAAGAGGTTCTTGAAATAGTTTTTCAATTGTCCATAAACCAAAGTCGAGCTTCAACCTCACCAACTTCAGTCTCCGCCCCCACCTCTCTATTGGAGGATAAAGTGGGACTTGTCTTGTCAATTACTGTTATGAATTATGACACCCCACTTGTGAGTTCCTCTGAGAAACCCACCTCATCCCTTTAAATCAAACATGTACACTGTGCAATCATGCATCACCCAACCACACACACACACACACACACACACACACACACACAGACACACACACACACACAGA